ATCTGGAAGTCATTAGATGAACCTGCAAAATAGGAATCCCACTGCAGGAAGTGGGAGGTGTTGAAGAATCCCAGAAGAAATACAGCTACGCCCTCTGAGCCAAGTTTACATTGAGGCTTTGTCTACACACAGCCACTAAAAGTCGGGCAGTGTAAACACTGTTTGTCAGCACTTTTGCTGACAAAATATTCTACCCCCTAGGAGAGCACTCCCGCCAACAATGCAGGCATTCACACAGGCACTTGCTGGGGCAAAACTTTTGTCTTTCAGGGGTGCTTTTTTAAACACCTGTGAACAACAAAAGTTTTGTCCTTCAATTGGCAGTGTAGACAAAGCCTCAGAAAAGAGGGAGATCTGAGGGGCATAGGTGAAAAGAAGGAGCCAAAGCCCAGGGAAGGGATAGCAGTGGTATAGAGAAGTTCCCACACTACCTGTGCTACTTATGTGGCCTTATCGCCATAGTATCTGAACACCTCACATCACAGCCTCTCGGTGAGGCAGAGCAGTGCTGTTAGCCCCATTTGTGCAATGGGGCACTGATGCACAGAGAGAGTAAAGGCCAGATTTTCAAAGGTACTTAGGCACATAGTTGGATTTACAAAAGTACCTAGAAGGCTAGGTGCTTTGTAAATCCCACTAGATGCCTAGCTGCAACTTTTAGTGCCTAAAAACCTTTGAAACTCTGTCCCCAAGGCACTGGCCTTAGGTTATACCCAAAGTCCATCAGGGAGGGGAGTAGAACCCAGATTTCTCAGGGCTAGTTCTCTATCCACTGGATCAGCCTTTCTCTCTGCTGTGTGCTGCAAAAAAGGGTACGTCCAGACTACCCACCGGATTGGCGGGTAGCGATCTATCTATCGGGGATTGATAGATCATGTCTCGTCTAGACGCAATCTATCGATCCCCGAACATGCTCCCGTCGACTCTGTAACTCCACCATGGTGAGCAGCGGTAGCGGAGTCGACGGGGGAGCCGCAGCCATTGATCCCGCACTGTGAGGACGGGGGAGGTAGGTCGAGCTAAGATACGTCGACTTCAGCTACGCTATTCCCATAGCTGAAGTTGTGTATCTTACATC